TAAGCACAGCTAAGAGAGCCAGCAACATGAAATAACTAGCTGTTCTTTTTCATTTACAGCACTTTAATTTCCTTCCAGTTTCATGGTGTTTTGCTAGTTTGTTGTACTCTATCTTGCCTTTAAAGGGCTGTCACAGATCACAGCAGTTCTGACTTTTTAGAAGATAATATTATGCTTCTTTCACTTGTCAAGTTAAATAGTTTGCATTATCTTTCCGTGCACTCCAGTGTTGCTGACTTTTCCCTCCATCTATAATCCTCCATAAAGTATAGCATACATTCTTTCTGGAATTCAGTTACAATCTGGGGTTCTCCCCCCCCCCCTGAGCATCAGTTTTCTGTGCGCAAAATTCCTTTCAAAAAAAAGTTGACCATTAAACTGTTAAGTCAACAAACCAAATGTTAATTTTATGCTATGCAAATTGTAAACACTAGCCAGAACATATTTCAAGTTTCAACAAAGTCCAGGAATGGAAAGCGGCGGTGAGCAACTTCCTTTTGGAGCTAGGACCACAACAGGGCTGGGGATCCTGACCTCAGGCACAGAGGTTATTGGCCCTTGGACATTTGACCTACATAGAGGGACTGCATTAGTCTGGATCAATATTCCCTCTAAGGTGCATGCAGGCATGCAGAGCTCCAATAGCATCATGCAGTTGATTCCTTCTTACTTCTGGGTCTTGGAAGAAACCTCATCCCTTATGCACAGATGCACAAGGCTCCGACGGGGACGACAATTGGAGGGAATACTGGTCTGGATCATGTGAATTGCAGTGATATTGCATTAGTGATTCTGTAGTCCCAGTGCTCAGTGCTAGATTCCTTGAGGGGTCAGCAGTTTGGCAAAATACATGTTGGAACTCAGAATATGACCAGCAAATTGAGTCATCTGATAAACTAAGGGAGCAACTAGACAGGTATTTTTCCCCATTGTTTGTGCCGTGTTTCTCACTGTTCCTTTCTATAATGATGATGTCCACTACATGCTGTCAGTACTCCTTGAAAGGAGACCTGATCTTTTGGCATAAGGATGTGGTATATTTTTTTTCAGCCAGCAGAGTTAGCTCTTTTTTTTCTTTTTGTAGCATTTCTAGTTGCATTATTTTGTCTTGTTTTTGGTTTGTGTGGTTGCCCAGTCCAGTCCTTTGAGATGACTGTTTGATAAATCTCTGTGACATCATTGGTGATGCACAAAGTGTGGTGCGGCACGGAAATAACGCCTACTTGCTTTGCCTGCGTTCTGCTCACACTGATAAAGATGTTAACTGTGGTGTTTTGTAAAAAAAATTAAAATATGTTTTCTCCTAGTTTAGTGCAGTGCTATAACTACACTATTTATAGCTTTTTAAAAAACCCTAAATGTTTAAATGTTTTTAACTAGCTAAAATTTTTAAAAAATTATATATAACTAAATTATATATAACTATAGCACTAATAGTATCTATCACCTGAGAAATCTATATGTAGGACAGGAAGCAACAGTTAGAACTGGATATGGACCCCAAGGGAGCACCAGGAATGAAGGGTCTTCCTCCCAAGTGAAGCACATGGACTGAGGCTAAAAAGGGAGATAGGGAAGCTTCTCTTTTGCATTCTGGTTTCCCCTCTTTGGGTCTCAGAATTCTGCCCGGGAGAAGCTAGACAAATTCTGGGACAGCAATTTAGAAGTCTCATGCTTGTTTGTTTCTGACACAGTCTGGCAGCGTGAGGGAAAAGAGAGACAGGGACACATTTCCCACTTTCAGAGCTTCACCACCTGCGGCAACTGCCTCTGTGCACCTAATGATAGGGCTGGCCCTGATCATTGGGCAAATTATGTTGTGAAAGGGCAGCAACTTGTTTTTGTAGTTGTCATTATTGCACTTCTCCAGTAATAGGAAGAGAGGTTTATGGGATTTATTTGCCTCAGGTAAGAAAATACTGTAATGTGGCTGGGACTGAAGTATTATCCACCTTGGCTTTGGGAATGGCGATGGTGCCCTTTGCTATTGCACACGCAGAAGCAGATATCTTGGGCCAGACCAGGTTAAGGTATTAGCCTTGTGTCTGATGAATCTTGATTACACAATTCTGCTTCCGCATAGGCATAGATAACTTAAATTCTTTACTAGGCAGGTTCTATACCATTTCTTCACTGAATAGCTCAGTGAGTTTTTCTGGCTGCAGAGCCAGAGGTTGGGGATTTGACTGCGCACCATGCCTCTCGGGAGAAGAACCAACCTGTGTAGCCTTGGGCAAGCTGCATAGACCCAAAGCACCCCCCAGAAGAAAGGAATGGCAAACCATTTCTGAGTACTCTGTACGTAAAAAAAATCATGGGAAACATTGCCATAAGTCAAAATCATTATTCCATTCTTGGGGATTTCTTAATGTATGTCTGTAGCAGGCTTTTCACCTCCTTCAGGATCAAAGTAAGAGAGAAATTGAGAGGAGAATTTAGACTGTGCTTAAGGATAGAATGCCCGTGAATAAGCCTGCCACTATAGGCTCTTCAGAAGCAATATCACGCCAGAGTCTTTGACCTGACAAAGGAGTGCTACAAGCTGGGAGATTATCAGTAATGTGTTTCCAGGAAAAATTACGACTCTTCAGTTTTTACCATCTCATAATTATGTGATCTGAGTATGTGTCATAGAAACAAAGCAGACAGACAGGAGTTTGCAAGTGGAACCAGGAAAGACTGAGGCTCAAATAATGTTACAGAGAGGCTCATCATTAGAAGCTCAAATCTTGTGTTGGTCCAAAGACATGATTTAGACAGATTTTCATGACTGAACACTCCTGCTGGCAAACAAGTTCTGTGCTTAACTCCCAATGACCATTCACAAAAAGAAAGTTAATTTGCAAACAGCAGAGGAGATGGGGGAAAGCTATAGCTGTGACCACCACACATTTTTCAGGACTTAAGGAATTCTTCCAATTGCGAGTTATTTGTAAGGTACAGTTTGGGTCCTGAGAGAGACACAGAGACAAGAAGCTGAGTTTTGAGTCTGGTAAAGTATTAAGATTCAGGGAAGCTGCTTCAACCTTTCTGGAGAACTAATGGTAGAACAATGGAATTGGCTGTCTCTTCAAATATTTATGCTCTGTCTGCTTCTACCTATGTGAAATCAAAACTTTCTTTCTTCTCCTTTGTATCAGAACATTGCACAATTGCTGTGCACCACTTCTGGAAGTGAAGGATCGGCCCTCGTTGCCCAGGGACCCCCCGGTGTACTCACTGTGCTTTCTCACTCTTAGGGGAGGCTCCTTCTATGTCATCCATTAAAAGTTTTATAAAGCATGAATAAGCTCAAGTGACCTCCTTCTAAGGGAAAGTAATAAAGTGCTGTACCTTTAGAAGACAATGTCGCTGTGGCATTTTCTATCACTCAGAGAAGCAGGATGAGTATAGCATCGGACAGTTGAATTATTGCATTCTTTGTACTGGGTGAATTCACAAGTGATTATGCCAAAGCAAGAGGTGGCTGTACTGTTTTGATTGGTGAATCTTACCACCTTGCCTTCGGATCCCCTTCAGATTTGTTGTGTTAAATTAATGTTATGGTTCCTGTGTCATTTTTTTTTTATTATGAAAAGGAATATCCAAGGCTTTAGGCACTGTCTCTTCCATCAACTATCTTATTTATTTATGTAAAATGTATATTTTATGACTGTTCCCAAGATACTAGGGGGCCAAGTGGGCTGTTTTCCATTTGACTCGGGCTAGAAACACACAGTAGAAGTAGTCTGTAATTTGAGCTAAAAGCCCAGTAATGTTGCAGAAAGCAAGGTGATTTGTACATTATTTTGTTTTGTTTTTTATTTATTGAAAGTATTTTTACCCCACCTTCCTCCTTCAAAAGGATCCAAGGTGGCTTACACCATTAAAAGTCGGTCCTCAAAGCTAAAAACAATAAGTATACAAATACCACACTAAAATGTGGCAAACAAAAGCAACACCAAAAGCGCATTCGAAGGCAGTCATTAAGGGAAAGCTTGCCTGAAGAGAAAGATCTTGGTCTGCTTGTCAAAGGACAGCAAAGATGGGGCCAGCCTCTCCCGTTTCTCCACCAAACGCACCTGTGAAGGTGGTGGGATCGAGAGAAAGGCCTCTTCATTCACATTTGCTAAGTACTCCCTCTTCCAGCTACAGTATGAGCTATCTCTAGTATGAATTTCTAGCCTCAGAAGACAACGCTCCTCTAAATTATTTCCTAAAAACAGCTTTTACTCTGGTGCTAAGGGAAAAGAAACTGCACCAGACAAGTTGTTTTAGGCTCCTAAGGCAATTCTAATGTTAGTGCTGGTGGAGGGTAATACTTGAGAAAGCGCCTGGTAGCATAACCTCAATTCACTATGAAGAATGCGACAACATTCTACGAACCTCTCCTGTTGTTTGTTTTGGTAGCAGTTCCCTCAAAACACCTATGACTGAAAGTTCGTTTTTGGGGCCTTGATTTTTGTTTGTGCACAAGATGAAAACCAAGGTGAGTTAAAAACTAACTCAGCGTTTGTATGAAGCTTAGCCTTTGGCAACTGAGGCTTGCCCAACCAATGTCATCCGATGGTCTCTGTACATTTGTTTATATTTTTCTCACGTGTAACATAGTCACGTTTTCAAGCCGAGGCAGCCGTGTCGGTTAAAGAGGCAGCAGCTCCCGGAAAGGAGAGGTGCCAAAGTGCAAGTGGGGGATTGCGATCAAAGAGTTAAGTGCGTCAGTCACGGAAGGTTAACCAGTCCTGGACTTTCTGTTTCCTAAGCACCGTGATGTGAGGCCAGAGAATAGGGGTATGTCTTGGCTGAGTTGCCACACCTTCAGTAACAGCCAATCTGAGATCTTTGATGCTTAGCTGGGGACAGTTCTGTTCAGACAGGCACTGAACAGTAAACACTGACTTGGGTCATTCCAGTTAATTATTTGGAAAACAACTAGACAACTAAAAGGAAGATCTGTAACTTTCCAGAGAGCTGTTGTAAACATCCATATGCAATTCTTCATAAGGTACAGGTATCCTTCTCGCTGCTGAAAGTTGGGCAGTATGGCATTCCTTTTGCCGGATTCCAGCATTGAAAATAAAAGTTACAATGGGTAAGTAATTTATTACTGGAGTTATAACTAACTATTGCACTCATGTGTTGATCTATGCTACACAGTTAGCAGCAGTTTTATACTACTTTACATGTTATGTCTCCATTGTAAGGAATCCTGGGGTCTGTGGTTTAGTGGGCTTCTGAAGCTTCCCTGCTTAAGACCATTCATTCATTCACCTGAACTACATAGGATTAGAACTCTAGTAGCAGTGCCCCTCACCAGACTACAAGTCCCAGGATTCCACAGGATGGAATCATGGTCGCTAAAGTCATATTACACAGGTTAAACCGCAGCGCAGAAGTGACCTTACCTGGAAATCAATCCAGTGATATACTATGTATTGTTTTGGTCTATCTGCAGGTGTAACCCAGTCTAACTACATGCTACTGCAACCAAATGGTTCAGAGTATCAGCCATTTAAAAAAATATTCCGATGCAGTTGGTCTTGTTTTAATAACGAAGCATGGACCTGCATTCCTGTGCCACAAGACCTTTCAATTTGCAATTATGATTAGAAAAAAAGAGAATGTAATCAGAACTCTTTGAGTATTTTGAAAATCATTTCAATTTAAATGTAGATTGAAGCATAGTCTTTAATCAAGATGACGAGGCAAAAACATTACAATTATTTATAAAAGAGGGGCTCCAAAGAAAAGATTCTTTGCAGTAAATGAATATATAAATATGCTTACTTTTGCTATGTTTAGCAGAAAGCTGTAGTTGATTATTACAGTGATGAACTGCAATCTGTGAATGAGCAGAATGATCTGTCAGTTGATTTGTTGTCTCCTATGCGGCTTAAACAAAAGTAATTTCAGCTGCTCCTTGCCTTGAGTATTAATTTAATTTATTACATAACATATTCCATCATTCCTCCCAGGAACTAAAGGTGACGTGCATGATCTTTTAGTTCAGTTTTAGTTTCACAATAACACTAAGTTTAGGCTAAATTGGTAGCTAGATGAAGGTTATCTGATGAGCTTTATGAGTAGGACCTGGGTCATTTCAGTTCTAGTCCCAAACTCTTAACAAGCATGGATGGCTCAGGGACCAAGGGAGGGTGTGTGTGTGTGTTCCTATTCCCACTGTTTCAGAGTGTGGTGTCTCCTCTGTTTAGTCCATGACATGAGTCAACAGAATGAACCACTGTACAGCACTGAATCTTTTTGTCTCATGATCCATATGCCCTAAAGTCTGAAATACCCTCGAGAGCCCCCATGTCCTTCCTGGCGATTTTTTAAAAACTAGTCTAGAATTTTAGGATAATTGACTACACTAGCTTCCTCACCCTTTCTGTGTACCTGTTTAAGTGGATACTTTATATTACATCTCTCAGGGATTCAGCGAGCAACTTTATATTTCTACAGTAAGGCCCATGCAAGATTTCATTCCAGTCCCTTGATGTTGCCATGTTGCAGCTTCAAATGGATTTCTGACTAATTGAATCAATGGACCTTACGTATGTTTTCCTCACACAGATATTGAGGTCATCTCACTGTTTTCCTGTTTACCTGAATGATTCTCTTATGATCATAGAGCTAACAACCTTTAAGGATATGAAAGCTCTAGGTTAAAAATATCTTTGCTAAAAATGTGATTTGATTGTTTTTTTTTAACCTGTGATAACATCTACATTTGAGTCCAATTTGTCGGCCTTCAGTGGTCTGGAAATGGTGTGGGGTGTGAGATCAAATAAATAAACATGCTGAGGAAATGTTGGACCTGGCCAAAGTGAAATACGTCTGTAAACCCCAGCAGTCTGTTCAGTAACAAGCTTTCCCCTTGAGACTACAACCAGTAGTAATGGTGGGAAAGGGTATGTGCAGGATCCACCTGCTGTATTTACTTTGAAACAAGAAACCTGTTGGCGGTGCAGCTGCAGAACAACCCAAGAGAGGGATCTGGAAGATCTGGCAATATTCTAGAGACAGGTGCTGGTGCTGCAGCCAAACCAAAATGTCTCCCACAGGGCAGGGCAACTGGGAAGGGAGGGCTGTGTACGGATTCAAACTGCGTACCTTCCTTTCTTGGAGGGCTAGCAGTAGAAATGCTGAATACATCAACACATTGCAAGGCCATTTAAGGATCTCTTAACATCTATTATCCTTCCAATAGTATGCTTTCAACTTATTTGTTCCCTGGTGTCCCACATCCAATGATTTATTCGCATTTCGCATCAATTCGTTTCTCTCTGTTTCACTGGACTTCATTACAATTCCTCCATGTTCCTTAGTGAAGCTTCTTGTAGTCCCTAAAGCGCCATGCATGAAGATAGATGATAACAGAGATAGAAAGGGAGCCACCATGTTGTTTTGTTCCATCAGAGCTTTGGGAGAGGTCATGCAATCACCGTACAGTACTTGCATAAGTGTCTGAATCATCAAGCCTCTACTCACAGACTAAAATACAGACCTTTGTAGTTTAAAACATCCAGCCATTCCCCATCCTCACCCTTGGTCCACTGTTGTTTTTTTAACTGCCGTGTCTGATGAAGACTTCGGAGAACTTAAAATCTTGCATATTTGTTGAATGTCTTAAAAGTATTGACCACCTGTGGATTTCAGATTTTGTTTCATTCTGAGGGATCAATATGGTGCCTTTCTTTTATAGAATGAACATCCACATCAGTTTCTTTAAACAATCCTTCTTTAATCATCATGGCTCTTTCTTCCTTTTCTTGTCCTTCTCATTCATGCATTCTTGTGAGTCTTCTGTTTTCATGTCTTTTGGATCTATCGTCTTTCACCTTTCTGTTTTTTCGTGCTTTAAACAGTCTCTCTTGCATGTGTCAAAGACTCTTCCTAATAGGTTTTTAGGCCCATTTTCACTTTGTCAGTCCAAATCATCTATTATAACCTAGTAAACATATTCAGGAATTTGAAGACATCCCCATATCTTAGGCCTAGGCCACCTTTAGGACCACCTCTTACACCAGCCAGCTCTGCCTTCATGTTTGAAGTAGAAGGTCTTACTTTTTACTGAATCAAACTGCAGGAGAGGTGTTGTTCATGGGGGCAAGTGGAAGGAACGTCCCAGTAGCTACACTGCAGACTAGATTGGCACCATCTCTTACAAGATTTGGCTGTATGGCAAATTAGATAGGGATTTATTATGTGAGTTTAAGTGCTGCTAATTGTACTCCATTAACCTTTATTGTTTTGTAATTGTGTCACATTGTATGGAATATTAATGTATATTTTATGACTAGTTTCAATTGCTGTTAACCATTCTGAGTGGCGTGAAAACACTAGACGTGCAGGATGTAAGTGTTTTGACAAATAAATGAACAAGGTGGCAAAATGTGCCCCTCCAGATGAAGTTGTACTATAATTCCCAGCACTCCTCATGATTGGCTAAGATGGTTAAGGCTAATGGCAGATGCAGTTCAACATTTCAAAGGCCACACTTTGCCCTCTCCTAAAACAAACCAGCAGATGGCATGCAGATATTTGGAGAGCAGGAATCAGCACTGACTGGACCACATGAGCAACTTCAATAACTTCAGAGTAAAAGCAGAAGACTAACATCTTCATGGCCTGCTTTGGGGCATTTTAGAACCATCTGGATGGCCAGCCGTGGAAGACAGGAAGCTGGACTAGCAGGACTAGCCCAGTCCTTAGGCAGAGAGAGGCAGCCATCTTGAATGGATGATACAGAGGCCCTGGCAAGTAGTGGAAGATGCTGGAAGTCTGTGTCACATCCCTTTCCTCGAATCTTCTATGCTAGGCTATGGCCCTCAGGTGCAATGGTGCAGCGTTGTGCTAAGATTCCACTGTCTAGTATAGTCATCTTTTTGTCCAGCAATAAATGGAGGAAATCAACATTTTGCCATTTGCTGTAGGTAACAAAAAGACACAGAGCAGCCCTGTGGACTAGACACATATAGATAGTCTCATCCAGGAGGGCTCTTCTTATGAAATACTTGCTTTTGCTGTAGCTATAGCAAGCGAAGACACCGCTAGAGCATGCGTAGGTAGTGTGTGTCTTTGTGTGTTGTGTCATAACAGTAAAACTTTTCTATGACAGAACCTCATTTCAGGTGGCAATTGCAAGAGCAACAAATATACATTGACGGGGGAAGGTCAGTAACACAGAACCTCATTTCAGGTGGCAATTGCAACAAATATACATTGATGGGGGAAGGTCAGTAATGATATTTCCCAAACTACATCATATATAACTGGAAAACATTGAAAAGTGCAACTTTCAAGGAAGAAGACTGCAGTTAGCGTACTAAGTAGGAATCCACTGCATGTTGACACTACTGGAAAGTGATCATCTGGAAAGAGTCCTTTCTCTTGCCTTCTCTCTTTCTTTCCCTCTCCAGTTCTCAGCATTATTAATATGTGAGTGGGCTGTTTAAGAACTTGCATGAATTCTCAGGTCACTTTGTTGCATTTTACTGTTTTTGTCTTTTGGAGTCTTGTTTGGTCTTATCTTCCTTCTTTGGCTTCTTCCTCTTTTCTTTTCCTAGGAACGGGCTTGTTTATGTTAAGAACCCTCACTTGGACTTGATGGATGAAGACATTCTCTATCACTTAGACTTGGGGACTAAAACGCACAATCTGCCTGCTATGTTTGGTGACATAAAGGTAAAAGAAACATTATGCAGCTGAGGCATTCTGAAACCTATTTCATGCAGCTCAGGCGTCTCTTCATTTCTTCCCCTGTTATGTTTTATCACCGTGTCTTCTCCGTGCTAGTTTCAGAGATGACTTAAATGTCCCACAGGGACGGCATCAGTGCCCGTTCTGGAAAGCATGCCGCAGCTACAGTTATAGGCAATTACCCTTCCTTTCTTGGGGAAATAAGTAGACTGGAGAAACCAAACCTGTTTTTAGTATGATGGACTAAATACTTCCCTGGGGTCGTTGCATTGACTTCAGCTCAGAAACACCGCATGAAGGAAGTTCGTTTATCATGGTGTTATCACCAAGTTCATGTATTTTTTTATAAAGAAAAAGAGATCAGCTTCTGTAGCTGTAGAATATCAGTTTCTGAGGCTCCTTAGCCTCTGCTGAGAACATACATGCACAACTGCTTTGAAAGGGGAACTTGTAGTCAATTCATTTTTCTAACGTTGGAGGTAGAACTAAACTGCATTATAATTATTGAAGAATAATGTCTTTATTATATATTTGTAGCTTTTTATCTGCTGCCTCACTAAACGGTAGAGGAGGAATACCACACAGGCAAGAACAACACATTTTCACATAAACTGAAGTGAAAAGCTCACTGTGGGCTATGTGTAAACTAGAGTGAAACATCTCTGTGTTTCATTTGGCTGGATGGCACAGGTAATGGTTGAGGAGCGCATTGGTTAGGGTAGCAGTGGCAGCAGGGCGGTGGTGGCAGCGGCAGGAGATCACATTGGCAGCAGTGGCCTGCTGCTACCACAGCTGCCTGTCCAGCTGTCTGCCAGACAAGCCCATCTGAGCGCAGAGGAAACCCTGCAGAGGCTTAAATAATACACATTGGGGTCCTTTTAAACTGCAGTGAAGCTTGCATCTCATGAAGTGACAAAAGTTGCTTCGCATTCCGCTCATTTGTTTTCCTCTGGGTATTCTTCTGGCTTTGGTGCTGCATGGTGACACTGTGGTATCTAAGAGTGAGGCTTTTACCACAGCTAGTGGCTTGTAATATTCAGGAGTCCTTTTAAAGGAAAACCAGCATGGAAACAATATTTGGATAAGTGGGGAGAAGATTGCTTTTCAAAATGGTTACAATAAGGTCTACTTTTGTGAATCTTGGCTCTATTAACTATTAATGATTACTGGAAGTGCATTTGATCCCAGGTAAAGGTTTTCCAAACAAAGCTCTCAACTTAAATGTAAACTTAGTTCGGGGAGGGGGGGAAATATGCAAAGAAAGGGAAGAACCAGAAAATGAGAAGCAGCATTCTAAACAGGTCAAGCTATTTGTCCACCTAACCCGCGAGGGTCTATTTTCACTGGCAGTTCTTCTCCAGCCCAGCAGGTCAAAGCCTTCTTCTGTCACCTGCTATCTGACAAGTGCAGCTGGAGCTTCCATGGGTTGAACATGGAACCTTCTGCAGGCACAGCAGCCTGGTTACCTTTAACCTGTGGTCTTCTGTGTAGGGTTGCTATGGAGCCTGAAGCTGTCAGTTGCAAACTTTTTTCTCTCACTGAATCCCAGCTGGAGGTTTGCCCTGCAGAAATGGCTGTCTTAATAAAGGGCAGGGGATGGGGAGGATGGACTGAGTCCACTTAGTCTCTAGCAATAATGCAGCCAACATTAAACTTTTAAAGTCCCGTTGATTTCAATGGCTACAACACGATTAAATGGTCCTCAGTGAAACCGATTTAAAAATGCCTCGTTTTGGCTGATGCACACCTTTACTGTGGTTTATACACAGCACATTCCTTTTAGCTCAAATCACTAAAGGGGGGTCGGCAGAACCTGAAAGAAAACTTGAAGCAAGAGATAATGCTGGTATAACTCTGTAGTCCATTTGCAATTGAAGCAGGCTTGCTCAGTAATGAGTCTCTTAGGGTTGCAACCCTGTGTTTTCTCAGGCTCTTCAACACAGTGCAGAACTGTAGAGAACTTTAAATGACTAGAATAGTTTTATATAATTAAATCTTTATATTATGTCTGAATGCAGCATTCCCATGGACCGTCAAGGCATGTTGCTTAGTCACTTTCTACTTTTAGAAGTGGGACCCTCCCCTCCCTCAATAATGTGGCCCTTTCTGACACGTTCCGTTCATGTTTGTAACTCCTGGAATGATGAGCTGTTTAATTCTGAGCAGTTCTGGTCATATTAGTTAAGACTGTTGAACTAATAAATCAAACCACTTGCTGTAGCAGCATCTCGTTCATCTTAAGTGGCCAAAATCCTGTTGCGTGATGTAGTGAATCACATCACACTAGGCCCATTGAATCAACTGGGATTTGGTGAGTTAGCTCCTCCATAAGTTTCATTGCTTCCAATGAGCCTACCTTAACTGTGATTTACTTTAGCATAGTAAGTTGCAGTTAAGAGTTGGCCCATTAAAAATTGATGGAACTTAAACAGGAGTTGATGTATTAAATCCTCATTGATTCTCTGAGTCTACCCTAGTATGATTTACTGTATTAAACAACAGGATTTTGGTCAGTAGATACAGCTGTTAACCATTTACCTTCAGCAGCCATATTTGAAGAATATTATGCTGAATAAATAGGATTACTTAAGGTCACATTGAGGTCCAATATGCCATTTTGGTGCCGTCTTTGCATTCCACCTCAAGTAACCCTCTTTGTCCCACCTCCCTTAAGCAAAGGAAAATAGTTTCCTTCTAGGCCCTCTCTTGTGTCTGCCTCCTTCTGGGAAGATGTGTTGATTTTTTTAAAAAAATACCAAAAAAATACAATGCATCAGTGCTGCCCTAATAGGCTTTTTTTAAAAAAAACTTTGCTTCCTCCCTTCTGCTCCTCAGTGAAAATTTTTAATTTCTCAATATAATTAAATCATTAATCTGAAAATTTTTAATTTCTCAATATAATTAATCATTAATCTAACGATATTGGGAAACTGAAACCAGATGGGAAACTGAAAGCAGCAAGTTCTGCTTTGGTTTAATCCCAGTGATTGCATGTGTTTGGAATGAACCAAAACAGAGTGATTCTATCCACACACCAAAGAAAAAGAATAGCCCCCTGAGAAGGAGCCAGAAAGATGCAGGTGGGGATGCTCTGGGGACAGGCTGATTCGTGCTGAGACTTGCACTATCTGGTTGCCATCAAAGGGAACAAACCAGCCTGTTCCCTACAGCAGACCAAACGCTCATCTAGTTACCCCCAAAGTTGACTGGCCCATGGGGACATTTTGTATAATGCCATTGACACTCCCATTTTGAATCATGGGCTATCACTTGCAGGGACGGGAGAAAAGGGTCCTTACATGAAATAACGCATTTTGCTTTACTAGATGTTTCCTAGATGGAGCAGAGGAAGGCATATATCTGCTCTTTTCAACAGCAGCCATGCATTTCTCATAGTATAACCTAGTTTTGGCTCCAGATTTCATGATGATAAGACAGAGTAAGGAAGTTGAACCCTTGTTTGCTGGGAAGCAGAACCAGCAGCGACTTTTTAAACCCACTAGATTTCCTGTGACTAAGATCAAAATGTATTTCCATTGTTGATAACAGTCTTGCTTAAATGGGTCAGGCAGTCAATCTACTCTTTCTTCCTTCTCACTCCCTTTAGATAGAAAATTTTATGAAGCCAGTTCAACCTTTTATAATCGGTGCCAACCAAGTCTCGGATGTTGCTATAGCTGATAATCTGATAATTTATTTCCAGTTTGTCTGCGTGGGCGGGAGCCCCAACAGAATGAAAGCTTTTGCTCAGTTCATGCATAAAGAACTTGGACTTGAAGGAGACAGCAAAGACATGAAAGACATTTGCGCTGGGACAGACCGGTACTGTATGTATAAGGTTGGCCCAGTGCTCTCCATCAGTGTAAGTACATGCTAGGGTACCTGAAATGTTTCCATCAGCGTCACAACAGTAAGCAGCGGCTTTAGCACGTTGTTCACATCCTCTGCTTAATATTTAATGCAAGTCTAACACTTGTGAGATGAACTGGAATGAAAGCCTTGATAATCAAGGGACTTTCTAAAAAGCAACCATACAATTGCTTCGGCATGAGAAATCAGGCTTTCCAGGAATCGGCCTCACTCCCTTTGCCCTGTCAGTGCCTTGGCCTTGACTGACAAGCATCACTTCTGTGAGCAAGGAGCACTTTTGGCCCTTTATGCTTTCTGCTGCTTCCACCGATGCTGTCAGCAAGAGAGCCTGAAGGCACATCCTGTAATCTCAGCATATCCCTGAGGTGCTAAACCAGAAATATGGGGAATTGCACAAAGGGGTTATTTCGGAAAAAAGAAAATGCAAATTCTTTTCTTTGCAGGTTTATACTACAAGTCTGTATGTGTTTCTGTTTTTACTAGTTAGTGCTGCAACATGCTGCTGCTACATCATCATCATCATCAATGTGTTGTGGAGGAAAGCCTTTCTGCTTGCACAGCTTGGGGCACTTAAATTTCTCTGATTCCCCTCCTTTGGTCTCCATGCAGCACCCAAATGGGTGCTCCTGGAGGTAGAGGGACAACCTGCAGATGGGTGTGAAATGTGGAACAGAGTGTTTCAGAACATTATATGGTTTGGTACAAACTGGAAGCCCTGGGTTGATGAGCATACAAACTTTGCATTAGTGCAAAACCAAGCCGCCATTGGATACAGCCCATAAGGATGAATTATATTAACATATGGCTGCAGTTTTATAACTGTAATGTTCTAACTCCAAGCTATAACTGACATTTAAGTATCTGCTGGTATTAAAAAATATGCACTTGACACATCCTTTACTTGCAGTCATTTTAATTACACTGATTCAAATGCAAATGGCCTGGCTTTATATCTATCTGTACATTACATCCCATTATGGTGTTAGCCATGATGGTTGTATATGAGATTCAGTATCAAGAGCTATGAGACTCTGTGTATGCATTGCTGGGAACCAACGTATCCCATACGTACTCCACTGTACCCCAACATACTCTGCTGGATGGGGCTCTGCCTCTCTTGCACGCAACTTTGCCCTGTGTGCGTGCGTAACTCCACCCCCCCGCATGCAGGTTTCTGTTGCAGCTGGAACCTAATGCAATCGCTGCACGAGGAGAAAGACAGCTGTGTGTACAGCAAGGCAGAGGTGAGCATGCATGCACACACCCAGCTCAGAGGGAACTTTGCTAAGGACCATTAGCAGGAAGGTCCTCCTGTCCCACTCAAGTCCTGTATGTTGGCCTTCCACAGACAACGAGCTGACCACTGTGGGGACAGAATGCCAGTCTAGGTAGGCTTTAGGTTTTCCCCTTCTTCGCCTCTGATCCCTTTTTTCCCCCTACCAAACCTTTCAATAGATAAATGTTTAAAGTAAGATTCAATAAGAGATTCATTTTGGACCTTGAATTATGGACCAATTTGACACAGTGGAAGTGAAGAAACTTTTCTCTGCTTGTGTTTTCTTCTCTCCACGTAAGGCTTTGTTGTAAGGCTTCCGTATGCTTTTATTCTTAACCAACAAATCAGTTGTGGGTAAAATAGATGTTGGATACCATAATTTTGTCTTCTAGTCCCAGTCAGAACAATGGTGACAGTGTCAACTGTTGTGAGGGAGGAACTGGATTTATTTGTTCCATTCTCTCCTGCCTCCTGCCCACCCTAGAACAGATGATGGGTTCTACTACTGTTTTTTCTGCCTTGGCACATATGCAACCTTTGCAACGTCTTTGTTTTGGAGACAGCCCTAATATACTTCTGTACCCTTTTGTTAAAGAGTGTTCAACCACCTCTTGGACATATACTTGAAATATTTGATTTTGTGTTTGTTGTACTCTCTGTACGATTCCATTTCAACACAGATTACTTTACATATGGTTATGAGTTATGCAATGCAGCTCAATGTATATTGATAGGATTTATTCAGAGTTCCATTGATTCAAATGAGCCAACTCATCAATGAATACTCTGTTAAGAACTTCAAGATTCCATAAGAAGCTTCCTCCTGGATCAAACCATGAGTTATCTAGCACAGCATACTCTTTCTCACAGTGGCCCTTATGAAACAAATGAGAGATCCACAAACATCTTCCTTTTTTATTGGTCATGAATCTCCTCCAATGACTCTGGGTTTTGGATCAACCTACAAGGACCTCTATCTATCCAGTTTGCTAATCCAAGATAATTTGAGGAACCTCTACTACATCTTTTCTTTAATTACTATGGTATTTAATGTGGCTAATCCCTTAATAAATATGTTTAGTATGTTCCAAATCTAATGTTCCCATAAAATAGAAGAAAATCCGAGGTGTAGAGTTGCTAGGGAAATCGTACAAATGCCTCCCAAATTCTAATAAATTCCCAACTCCTACATTGCTTATTTTATAACTAATTTACCAGTTATGTTCTTTTCTTTCCCTTCAGACACTTCTCAAGTAGTTATTGCCAGTCCAGTCTTTCAGACATTCAAAAATGCTACATCTTTTAAACTTTAATACACTGAGTGAAAAATTGCCATGGCTTGTTCTTGCTGTTTCTATAAATTATTTCCCTGCTTTTTAGATACATGGAATGTAACAGATGTAGAGGCCTGCCTCAGAAATTCCCTTCCTGCATCTCTGCTAGGCAAGGGAGATTTAAGATTAATAGGCCAGGAGCACAAAATCCAGTTCCCCAGTCAAAGGGGGTGTCTTGTTTCAGCAAAGAACAGAAGTGGGATCAGGCTTAAGGAGGATGATTTATGCTATTCTTTGGTCTGAATCATGTCATATGTCTTGAAATTCAAGAGCTAGGCTCATTCCCCATTTTATGTAATGTGAAATATTTAGAGGAAAATGCTATCAATAGCATTAAAGTGCCTTGTGTTGTGATCTACAAATGGAATGTCCACAAATAGGACGTTACAAGTTCTCAATTAAGCAGGCCGTGTTATGTAAATTAAGCTATATATTTGGCTCCTGTATATACGGTGTATCGTCTAGTTTGGCCCTCAGTTATGTGTCTGTCAGTGATGAATCTACTTTTTTCCCAACATTGAAACTTCAAACTATTATGGGGGGACCCATCTCAACCAGCAACGAGGTCTGAGTAATCATTGCTATCTTCTTTGATGGGGTTGTTCCATGACAGATCACCAATTTATTAATTTTTTTAATGTGGACTAAGTAGTGGGAACCCCAAAAGAGCCCTTCCTCCTCCAATTCTTCCTTCTGCACAAGACATTGACAGATGCAGCAGGCCCTACAGAGCAAATACCTCCTTCCACAGTTTTGTGCTAGCCAACCCAAAGTGTTCTGGAAAAAAATACACCACTTTTTAAAAAAGTGTGTACTGTCTGCTAAGTGCTCTGTCCTACTAGTTCATGCCACTTTCAGCACACTCGTGCTCATGAGGTGTGTGTAGTGCTTGTGCAGTAGGAGGCCAACTGTGTATCTGGCAGAAACAGTTCAGACAAACACAAGAGAAAAGGTAGACAGAGATCAAGTAAAGAGAATGTTTGAGATGGTCATGTGCTGCCACGGCCCCACATTTGGAGCCACCATGCTAGAACCCCCAACAGGATCTCCAGGTTTCAGAATTCCTGTAGAGCTCCACCCAAGAGCATAGCTGCAAGACCTGAGGTAATGGTCAGGATTAATGACAGTACTACACCAAAAGATAGTGTAATGGGCACTGGGTGGGCAGGCAAGAGTCGCAATTGGCATAGGTGGGCAGGCAGATAAGTAAGAAAGTTGAGATACACTGCTGAGATACGCTGAACGAGGAAATACTGGCATGAGAGAAGTGAATACTGTATGTTGTCCATTGACTTCACATCATCCTTCTCCCTCAAGTGTCCAGTTTGATTCAGAAGCTCGAATTTGTCTGAAGCAGTTGTGGAGCCCTTACATAAACAGATGAAAATACCCCAGGAACATTTAACCAAACATAATCTCATTTCAGTTCCATCAATACCAGTGTGAGAACTGTAACATTTCAGTGCTTAACTTTGCTGGTTGTTGTCTAAATTTATTTTAGCCCTGTGTAACATAATACTGTGTAGGAACCATTTCTGTTTATCTAAATGCCTCACTAATGGAAGCTGTTGTGCAAATATATCTGGTTATCTTTATCTACTGCATTAACAAGATACCTTGAGTTCAGTGGAAGCAAGCCAAGTTGAATTAATTCCCTTGGCTTGGATGAGACCATCCTCCATACATCACTGATGGAGGCTCGTATTATGTACCAGTATTTTAATGCAGATGTACTTTTTTTAAAAGGCCATTTCTAGACTTACTGTTTCAATTTTGGTAAGAAGGTATAGTATTATCCTTGTTTTTTTCTCTTTCCCTAACAGCATGGGATGGGTGTTCCCTCCATTTCTATCATGCTTCATGAACTAATCAAACTGCTACACCATGCAAAATGCTGTGATGTTACCATTATACGCATCGGTACTTCAGGGGGATTAGGTGAGCAAAGAGCTTTGCTACTGCCAGGCACTGGGGATGTGAATGAAACAGATCTCAGGAACAGGTCATGTCTTTATGAGATTTTCGTAACTTTAAAATAAACATCAAATCCACCAATAGCAACCTGCTAGGGCATATAAAAGACTACAAATATGTATTTGCTAATATAGTGTCAGCCTGAAAGCAGGCTTGATGCTCTTTAAAGTAACATGGATTACTCCTGCCAACCTAGCACTCCTGCAACCTAGCAGTTTGAAAGCATGTAAATGCGAGTAGATAAATAGGTACCACCATGGTGGGAAGGTAACGGCGTTCCGTGTCTAGTCACGCTGGCCACGTGACCATGGAAACTGTCTTCGGATAAACGCTGGCTCTATGGCTTGGAGACGGGGATGAGCACCGCCCCCTAGAGTCGGACACGACTGGACTATATGTCAAGGGGAACCTTTACCTTTACCTAACATGAATTACCTTTCCCCCATACTCTCTGAAATACAGATATGATATTTCTTCAGCCCCCACCATGGAAAAGTTCCAATATAAACATGACAACACACTCGCAGTTGGAATCAAATTCTGTGCTGAACATGGGTGAGCAGCTAATTTAGTCCAGATACAGTGTGTATGTGGGGATACCTGCAGGATAGCTCAGTGGTTTAGGCTGGGAGTTCAATTCCTCACTGTGCCTTCTTGACAGGGGCAGGACTTAATCATCCATAGAATCCTTTACAGCTTAGTTCTAAGATTATTATTATCATTATGACTAGAGGCTTTTCATCCACAGATGTATGATCTGAATGGGAACCAGAATTACCCAGAAATTAAAAAGTTGACAGCTTACTTTCAAATTCATGGGCCAAAATACCTTATAGACTTAGTAGCTGTTCTATAATGCATACCAGAGCTTTATGAATAGTTGAAAAACTATGGATTATTATTCTACAATGGCATCAATCCTGTAACAGTTCCATTATGTATGATTTATTTTATCTCACTGAATAAAATAGCAGCTTTGTGTGCATTTCAGTAGCTTGTACAGGTATACATTAGCCCTGCAGCAAAATCAGTGTACACCAATAACACTATAGTCATATACACACTTACTGGGAACTAAGTAACATTGAAGCCAGTGGGACCTCCTTCCAAGTAAATATGTATAGGATTGCACCCAAAGACTCATTTTGACAACAGTATAATATTATAAACCACTGTTCTTTCTCATGCAGTCTAAATTCATAATACTTACTGTCAATAGTTTGCAGTCACTTTGTTTATTAATCATTGGTTTTAGTTCCTTTTGATAATATATAGGCAAATGTTAAAGTAGTCAGGGACCAAGTATGAATTTTTGTGGGGGGATAGGTTTGATAGAGATGTGTAAAATTGTTGCCCCACATACGTATTATGATTAATACATCTTCTGAAATTGTATGAGCCATACAATTTCACAAGACAAGAAATAAAGGTTTCCATTTTAATTTTAAAATTACATTTTCTACACTTCTAAAATCACATCATGGCTCACAGTGGCCCGTTTCTACCGCACTTGTTTATCATAGCATCCAGTCTGAAGAATACTCATTAAAAAACTGCTAATTATTTTGTAGGGTTTTTTTTTGTTAATCCAAAGAAAAGTATCTCATCAATAATTAGATTTCCGCCTTTAAAATTCTGATGTATTAACAATTAAGGAAGCCCATTCATTTCAAAGCTTTGCTTTCATTTAATGTTTTTCGTTGTATGTTGTACAACGTAGGAGTTGTACTTCCTGACAAAGCATGCCACACAAGACCTATTTAGTCATTAGCACATTGGATATAATTTTACCATAGGTAGAGAAGAGCGCACTAGCCTTGCCCATTCTCTTTTATAAATAGTTCCCTGCCATTTCAGGGGCTTATAAAGTGAAAGTAGCTCTACACTTTTATACTTTGCTATGGTTTTTCCACAGAACTATCCCTTTTCTTGACATTACATGGCCCAAACCTGAGACTAGGGGTGGGCCCTTGTGATGTTACAGGGTGGAGCACACGAGGAATCAGAGAGGGACCAGAATCGCTTCAGACTGTGGAAGTGGCTGTGAAGTGCTCCAATCCCTAACCTCTGTTGAATTGCATGATGTACTCATGAGCTTAAACCCACCTGCATCTCACAAATCCCTAGACTTCATTCCTGGATTTCTGATATCTTGTACAAGCACAAGGCACATACAGACTGCTTCCTAATAAGTGGCGGATGAAGATGGTTACTCCATCCACCACTTATTAAAAGTTACTTCATTCATAAAAAATGAATTTTTTAAAAAGTTACTTCATTCATGAAAAAAGGTCCTCGGATGCAAATACAGATTATACAAGCTGGAGGGGTACTTGAATCTAAGTTTTGCTTCTTACCCAAGCATGTGAATAATAACACTCATGTCTAGGTTGCTGTGAACAGACCTTCAAAACCAGGAAGTGCAGTAAATACTGAACACTTCAATAGCCAGGAATTAAAAACCAAATTTCAGTATTATGAAAATTCAGTCATCAGAGTATATTGTGCGGCCTTCATGACATATATCCATGTGTGATAAGCCCTAGTGTAAACTTAATAGTGTAGTCTTTTCAAACATTTGAGGCCTTCTGATTGCACATTTAATGTCTAAATGTGATTTTATATTATGTTCATGTAGTACTTAACATACCTCTCCTGTTTTCAGGGATTGAACCTGGCTCTGTTGTGATAACAGATATTGCAGTGAATTCGTTTTTCAAACCTCAGTTTGAGCAGGTGATACTGGACAATGTGGTAATACGCAGCACTGAACTTGACCAAGACCTGGCTGATGAACTGCTAGAATGTAGCAGACATATTAAGAATTTTCCAACACTTGTTGGCCATACAATGTGCACCTATGATTTTTATGAGGGTGAGTGGGATTGTGTTTATAACCTATTACTTTATCTGAACAAGGAACAGAAGAGCCATGTGGGATAGAGCCAAAAGCCTGTATCATCCATTATTCAGGACACACGAAGCAGGAGATGGATGGATGGATAGATGGATGGATGGATGGATGGATGGATGGATGGATGGACCATGCCTTTAGTGGAAACACTACTCTGGATGGTTTACAAATTAAAACTCAGCTTTAGTGGAAACACTACTCTGGATGGTTTCCAAATTAAAACTCAGAACTTCACACAACCCCAGTTAAAGACCTCTCTAGTTCTGCAACATGCCAAAACAAAACAAAATAAAATGAACCCTGGCTGCCATTCTCAAACAATAAGGAGTTTAAAGTACTTTATTTGGTTTCTTCTACAGTCAGTATCCAATGTCCCCTCTAAGCTGTGCAGGTGTGTGGCCGTGCAAGAAATGCACCAGTGCCACACACCCACAACTGGTGTTGCTACCCATTTGGTTCTGATCGCAGCTGGAACCCAACCAGCGCTGGCAGAAAATTAGACAGAACATTGTCAGCCTCCTGTTGTTGGTCTGTATGTTGTGTGGTTGATCACTTTTATTCTTATTCTTTTTCCTTCGTTTGAAGACCTTTTGAAACGAAAAATGAATCCATGTACAAATGTGTATATATCAGCATATCCTATTCATTATACATTAATTTTTCAATGCAACTCTGTACATGACCATTCAGATTTAAGTAATACTGAATTTACTCCCAGGTAAGAGGAGTAAAACTGCAGCCACTGATTGGGGATAATCTCCACTGAACATACATGGACTAAGGCACCTTGGGTCCTTTTTAAGGAGAAAGAGTAAACATATTTTAAGTAAATAAATTTCATCCAAGTAAAACAAAGTTTATGGCAATGCTTAGGAATGCTTTTTAAAGGAAGGACCAGAATAATGAATCTCACTTCCCATGTCTTTCTTTGGGACACAGGAAAAGCTAAGATTCCCATAATGCTGAAAGAAAGAAAGAAAGAAAGAAAGAAAGAAAGAAAGAAAGAAAGAAAGAAAGAAAGAAAGAAAGAAAGAAAGAAAGAAAGAAAGAAAGAAAGAAAAAAAAAGAAAAACCACAATAAATCCCATTCTTCAAAAACCAGTACAGATTAATTGACATTTTGGAAGAAACAAGCATATAATATTAAACAGTTAAAATCAAATGGTCCCTTGTCAATAATCATACCATGTTAACAGCTGCAGTACATTCCAGTTGCCTTCCCTGGTAGGATTACAGCTTTCCAAAATTACCTTACTGAAGAAAAATGTCAGGAAGTGTGGCATTATTATAAATAACCATTAGTACCTCTGCACTACCCGGGAACCTTTTATTTGGAAGTAATTGAGTGCTATTTGCAAAGTGGATGCAGTGGAATAAATGGAGAATTAATAATCTGCGGACTATTTATAACCCTTTGGATCTGTTTGCAAGCATGGCCATCTGTGTTTTCGCTCAAGGCCACATTTTATCTAAGCCATTTCAGAGGATTAATGTGCAGAAATTAAAATGCAATGAAATAGTTTGCCCAGGTTAATATTTGCCGCAGGTGTATATTTGCTGTGTTCAAAAGCTGGCCGGATAACTCAGTGACTTAGGCATCTAGCTGTGGAGTAAGAGGTAAGGAGTTCAATTCCCCATGGCCCCTTCTGCAAGGAGAGCCATCCCGCGTGGCCTTGGCCAAGCTGCAAGGCCCAGGGCACCCTCAGAAGAAGGGAATGCCAGGCCACTTCTGAATATTCTTTACTTAGAAAACTCTGAAAAGATTCGCCATTCCTCAGAATTGACTTGATGGCACACAATTATTATTCAGAAATACAGACTGTACACAAAACAAGCGCAGCTTCTTAAATTTCTCATTAATACCTCATTCCTAGATGTGTCTGAATTTAAGAGGGATTACAGTACTCCCAGGTAGATGGATATAGGGTTGTTTATTTAGATTCCAGCTACTGGCTAAAATATTAATTAAAGGTATTGCTTTACATTTTGCTTTAATTCCATGAGAATGCTTGATCCTGTGACACTAATTAAAAAGGTGATTTGCCACAAAGTTTAATACATGTTAAATTGTATTTACATGCAAACCTGTGTATATAATTTTTATGTTGAGTTGACAGTTAAACTTTACATTTTAAATCCAGAGGTTCTTTTCTTTCTCAGGCCCATATCTTGGTGCTCTGTTCTCTTGAATGCAGGAGGGATATAGAAGCATGTGAAACTGGGGGATATATTTATTTATTACTATATCCTGTCTTCCTCCTCAAGAGGACCTAAGGGGCCTTACAATATCAAAACAAATAATATTATAAAGTAAAAAAACCCCACATAAATTATTATCGTATTGAAATCTGATGTAGAAGTGGGTGAGATTTGGTGATAGAATGCAAGATATCAATTTGAACATCTTCTGCCTGGTCCACCTCCATAAGTCAAGGCCATGGTAGATCAGGCCCCATGGCCAGTTGGTCAGGCTGGTTGGGAGGGAGATGAGGATTTTACTTTTGCCTTAATAAAGAGAACATGCAGTATATTCAGATTTAAAATGTCAGTTTTTCAGATTAATACTGTATCTTGCATTATATACCAAGCCCTGCTGAGGCAGCAGAAGGAAGGGTTGCTCAGGGCTTGGCCGACCACCTCTCTGGCCCAGACTGAAGGGCAAGGAACAGCTTGACGGGACCTCATAGGTTCTCCTTCATAGAGGAAATACCTGCAGCCAAGGTTCTCCATCAGCCACTGTGTCTTTTATCATAACAACATTATTGTTTCATTCTTGGCTTGTGCTATTTGCCTTTACACAGAGCAATAAAGAGCGCAGTATCCTAAATTTATTGATCCTCCCCCTCAGTAATACAGCATTTTAGATCCCCCATTTTTATATGCCTCTTTGTAGTTTACTTTGTGCTGTTTTTGTCATGATGTTTTAAAAAAAGGGCGGATAAAATTATTGATATTTCAAATAGCGTGTTGTTAAAAAGAGAGAGAGCTTTTCATGACAGCAGTATGCTGGCAAATTAACAGTGGGCTTCCTGGAGAAAACATTATTTGGCGACAGAATGAGCCCTGCCAACAATCTTTTCGAGAATGGAGCATATAAAATACAGAATACTGATATTTTCTTTTCTTTCCTTCAAAGGTCAGGGACGATTAGATGGAGCTTTGTGCTCCTTTTCCAATGAAAAAAAGCTAGAGTACTTAAAACGAGCCCACAATGCTGGAGTTAGAAACATAGAAATGGAGTCTACTGTGTTTGCCGCTATGTGCAGGCTGTGTGGCCTTAAAGGTAAGTCAGAGGGCGTATTTATCCTCCTTCACACCTGCTTTCTTTTGCTAAAACTGCCTCCCGGGAAGCCACCCTGTGCTCTGTTTGAAGCACAAACTTTAGCTAGGTTATCATGTTAGCAGCTTTTATTACTTTTCAGTAGCAGTGCATGTGTAGGGGTGCCAGATGTCCAGCAAAAGGAGGATATGTCCTCCTTTTTAGGCTAATTTTCTTCTTTCCGAGGAGGATATGTCCTCCTTTTTAGGCTAATGTCCTCCTTCCAGCAGGCAAAGATAAAAACCTTTAAAGTGTCCCTCCTTTCCTCCTCCTCCTCCTCTTCATCTTACCTGAGGAAAAACAGATCACACCGTAGTTTGTTTTTTTTAAACGGGTGGAAGTCCTGAGGTCACAGGGTGCCTGTTCATTCGTCAGCTGATACCAGTTGCTCAGGTCAAGTGACTCTCTTTCACACCTCAAGCAAGAAGAATAGAGTGCAAGTATGTCCTTCATGATACCTAAAATTCCTCCAGGCTGTCAACTGAATGCCGGAATTCTTGAGAGATTCCCGCGGGCATTTTCCCTGTATCTCTTTGCCCTCTGTTGGCATTCTTATCCCCCCTTCTGCCCCGACCCCCACACACTCCTGATTCTGGGGCATGTGCAGAGTGCATTTCCAGGTCCAGGAGCCAGAAGCATGTGCAGAGTTATCCCCCATTCTTTTAGAGAGTTCAGGCTTAATTTGAACTAGAATTCACTTTTTATCTTTCTGGCAATCACTTATTCATTAAGCTGTCTTCTCACACTACATTTCAACGAATGGTCTCGGTTTTTTTTAATCATCTTTTTTTTATTATTATCTGGCTTTCACATCCATGTATAGTAACTGAGAATTCTAGAGTGTGGATGATCTTGATCTCAGTCTTCAGTGACGTATCATTATTTTTAAGGATTTTTCCCTAGTTTCTTCATGGTGCCTTTCCAGTTCCCAGTCTTCTTCCATTTCTTGGTTTAAGTTTCAAAATAAAAATATGTAACAATGTATTTTAATGTTTGTTTTAGCTTCTTGATTATTGTATTGCTTCAAAGTTTTTCTTTAGCTATGGTGACCATCATAATCTTTGAACTGCAGAGCTGGATGGGACTCCATAGATCATCAATTTCAATCATATAAATTTGTGAAATTAATGAACAACAATTTTATATAGTGCCATTACTTTCCAAATACCTTCAGTCCAACTGACATTATATTTTAAGTACATTTGGAACATTTAATTATTTCACCCGTTGTATTAAAAGATTAAAAAGCTTTTAATTAGCTTACATGGTAGCCCCAATTTATTGAGCAGAAAATATGTATTATATTTTTGTTCATACAAGTACTATTTTTAAAAAACTGGAAATGGGAAGTAACACTTTAGATGAGGAATTCCACTTTTTATCCAACTATCGAAGAAATTCTTCTTCTAAAATTATGCTTGTTTCTGTCTCATGTGTGTGCAATATCTAAACAAAAATTGTATTTTCCCCTTTAGTACTACTATTATTTTACTAATACGGAAAATTCTGTAGCTGTTTAGATCAACTAAAATTAATTGTTATTTAGTCGTTAAGTCATGTCCAGTGGAACATTTAATTATTTCACCCGTTGTATTAAAAGATTAAAAAGCTTTTAATTAGCTTACATGGTAGCCCCAATTTATTGAGCAGAAAATATGTATTATATTTTTGTTCATACAAGTACTTTAAAAAAAAACTGGAAATGGGAAGTAATACCTTAGATGAGGAAATTCACTTTTTATCCAACTATCGAGGAAGTTCTTCTAAAATTATGCTTGTTTCTGTCTCATGTGTGTGCAATATCTAAACAATAATTGTATTTTTCCCCTTTAGTACTACTATTATTTTACTAATACGGAAAATTCTGTAGCTGTTTAGATCAACTAAAATTAATTGTTGTTAGGAGGTCGCTAAGTCATGTCCAGCTCTTTGTGACGCCATGGACAGAACACACCAGGCCCTCCTGTCTTCCACTGCCTCCTGGAGTTGGGTCAAATTCATGTTGGTTGCTTCAGTGACACTGTCCAACCATCTTGTCCTCTGTTGTCCCCTTCTCCTCTAGCCCATACACATTAATTAATTAAATTAATACAACTAGTCAAATAAGATTTCCTTAAATCGGTCCTTATTTTAGGATGTGTGTCTGTTGTTTCTTCTCATGTTGCAAACATAAGACAGTCACCTTTTACTCATGGCTTTATGGTAGTACCTTGCTTTCCTCATCAGTTCCTAATTTATGAGATCTATATTTAGGTAATTAATATTTCTAATCCACCAGATCTTAAAAGCTTCTGGCAGGTAACAACAGAGAGTAGATAAATAGGAATGTATCAAATCTACTGTTTACACTCTCTCATGATAATTATTTACACCTATATAATTATAAAAACAAACCTGATCTTTGTATTCACAGAGGCCACGAAGAAGAATCTACTGTTTACACTCTCTCGTGATAATTATTTACACCTATATATTATAAAAACAAACCTGATCTTTTTTGTATGTTCCTCTGATTTCTAGCTGCAGTGGTCTGTGTGACTCTCCTTGATAGACTTGAAGGGGACCAAATCACAGCATCTCATGAAGTTCTTGCTGAATATCAACAACGACCACAACAACTAATTGCAATGCTTATCAAAAAACGCCTTGGGCTATGGTATCCCAGAGAAATGTAAGAGAACTCAGTCATCTGGTTGCAGAGCACATACACCTGTTGTGTAATATGTACATATATATGTTCACATGCAAACACGTGCATCATAAGTGCTATTTCAGTGGGCCTCACTGTCCAGACATGAATATAGCACCACACATTCCTTGGGCTATGGTATCCCAGAGAAATGTAAGAGAACTCAGTCATCTGGTTGCAGAGCACATACACCTGTTGTGTAATATGTACATATATATGTTCACATGCAAACATGTGCATCATAAATGCTATTTGAGTGGGCCTCATTGTCCAGACATGAGTATAGCACCACACATTATAGTATCTCATACCTACATCAGATACCCTTATGGTGCGAAAAATACGGTATTTCATACCTACATCAAATACTACTTTTTTGTTCTCTTTTGTCTGAAGAAAGAGAGCAGAGAATAAAATGGTCTTAGTACAGATTTCTAATCAATAGTTGTATCAACATCTTAATTTTCCATCAGTTCCACTACCTCAACATGCCGGATTTGGTTGTCATTGTAAGATTAAATTAAACAGAGAAATGTGTGAAGGTACTAATTGGAGAGAAAGGAATGAAGGCAGTCTCCAGGTATGCAGAAAATAAGTTACTTATACTGTATAAAGCCCAGGATGTATCAGATAGTCCATTGTCAGGTCTGTCCTAGCATGAGCCAAATTGAGACTACCCCTTGAGGCAGCAGATTTTGTGTGTCATGAAAGAATCAGTTACTGTATTTGGTTTTCTTGTTACAGTATTTTTACTGCCAATGACAGAGGTGTGCTTGTGGGATATTCTGCCTTGAGTGCCAGAATAACTAGCTGGCTTTAGATATTATCCACCTCATTTTAGGTGGGTTAAGGTGTCACTATTTGCTGATCTACCTCAGCTAGCCAAAACGTCTTGGGCTGCCCTGGTTCCTTATGAGCAACAATTTGTTTTAGCTGGCACCTACATTCTGTTGCAACTGCTTTCCCACCAATTTTCCAAAACCAAATTGTGGCAGTATGTAAATGCCAGCTTCGTAATGCCTTGTTCAGAAGTGTCCCTGAGGAAGAGCATCTTTTTGAAATACATTGGGTAATAAATATATCTCATTTCTTAGACTTCTGGCTTTCTCTCCTTTTCCAACACAGAAAAAAAAACCAGCCAATCCCTCCATGCCACATCTCACTATTTGTAGAATGCATGTTTATTCCTGAGTATATCAAAGAGTGTGGCAGATTTCTTCAAGGCTTCATTTATTTAAGTCTCTGTCCATTCAGCTTCTGTACATGGAACGGAGAGCAAACCATCCCTGTCTGTCCTCAAGCAGTGCATTTTCTTCAAACAACTCTTCATTTTTCCCCTCTTCCAAGCTGCTGAAACCTATTGAGTAACATATTCTGTCTACTACTGGCAATACGCCAACCCAGAGATAGCTAACCAGCTTTGTTTCATATCACAGTATCATCACTATATAACTTATACATTGCTAGAGCTCCATCATGTAGTGAGGTCACATCCACACCAGTGATGGTAGCCACTGAAAAGTATACTTTTGGCACTAATGGGCACATATCTGCCCAAAAGGAAGTCCCTCTGAATTCACGGGTGCTTACTCTCAGCTAAATGAAAACAGCATTGCAACCTCAGTGTTGTTAAGGCTGTTTGTAACAGCTAACTGAACTAACTTTTGTACCTCAGGGATTACTTCACTGTTGACTCAAAAGTGATCTTGCCATTCTACTGTATTATTGTTTGTTCAGCACACCTGTGAAGAAAGACTCAAAATGTTGTTTTAGAACACAGTGGGGTAACATTTCTTTGTAGACATCTGTCAAGAATTGATCCAACAGCTTGAAAATATTTACACAGAGGATGTCAATGTATGGCAACTCCATAGCCATACAGAAAATGTTCCCTGTTGACTGTGCTGTGATGTTAGCTGAAGATGGAACACCATGACACTAATTTCATATGTCTTTTAAGAAATACCTGGTGATAAGCTCTAGAATGACAGTAGAACTGGAAGAAGGAAAAAAAGGATGACTGTTTTAGAAATATAAGCAGAAAAACAACTCTGACAAATACTGTCTGAATATCATCTTGTTAATCAGAACTCAGGTATAAAAGTCATAATTTATTCTGAAAAAAATATATAGTATGAGTCTGTAACAAAGTTACATTACAGTACTCTGTACAACTGGAATTGAAAATTGTGCTGCATTGTAATATGTTTCAATTATTTATATAGCTTAATATATGACATTACATGTGTTTGATGCTTCTGCAAAAGTCGTTAACAGATACTTTCAGAAACACTCTGAGAAGAAAACAGGGCAAGTGTTCATAAAAAGCAAAAGATTGTTGCATTGTGATCGTGTATCTTTTTAAATTAATAAAATCTGTTATGTATTATGTTTAAAGAGTGAGGTCAGGAAGGAAGTAATTGTATGTGTGTGTGTGTCTGTATGAATTATATGCTGGAGGTTGGGAAGAAAGTATAGTACACATGCACGCATGCATACATTAATTATGTGCTGGTGGTTTATTGTTCTACTACTTAAACAACAATTTGTGCTCTTTCAAGAAATGTTGGGTTATAATCTATGTGACCTGTTGGTTCTTCTCTTGGTTTGTAGACTCGAACGAAGATGGATTATGACAAGTCTTGACTTCTTTCATGCATTCTAGGGCCAATTGTCAATGTGAAAATTGCAGAGGATGGTACTGTATACAATTAAGCAGATGTACCACACAGAACCAAGCTAGTGTCCCTACACCAAAAATTGGGGAAGGGTGGGCACCAATTCTGCCGTGGTCAAAAGTTGCCTATGATGTTAGGGACTTTGCTAACAAATCTGTTTATCACTGCGAGAATTCTACTCCCTCGTGCAGCCTTGGAATTTGTATTGCAGGGTTCAGAAGCCCCTTGGAAGAGAGAGTGATACATGTACGTAATACAGTGGGAGGAGGAGACAGAAGAAGAAAGGCACACCTGTTTGACACTGAATTTCAGTGAAAATCCTATAGCTCTTGATATCCTTTAACAGCTAAATTTCTTTGGGTCATCAAATATCCATTTCCAGAAATATAAAATAAAATAAAATACTATCCAGACTGCACAGATATTTGGTAAACAATAAAAACCCTTCATAAGCAACTCAGGTTCAGGGTAGAATTACTTCAGAGGCAAATAGGCTGTCTCTCAGTGCAGTGTAAGTTCCAACCAGTTGTGAGTTTAACAGCAGTGCTAAAGAAGACTGTAACAGGGACTCAAGTGGATTCTTCTTCTTCTTCTTCTTCTTTGGCATATCTTTCATCAAATTAGCTTCATTAAGTTCCAGCTTCCAGTGGCTCAAGTAACTGGGGGCACTTTTTCAAACAAAGCAACTGAGTTGCTCAGAGGAATGAATGCAGAAAATGAAGGAGTTATAATACCGGCCAGATTTATTGCATTCCTCCACAGCAGGAGATAAAGTGCTCTTAGGCTGCCTTCAGAAGGTACATTTTTTTCCCCATTCTGCAGACTTTCTAGGAGATGTCATGGAGAAAAGCACACAGCTTTTCCCTCTAGAGTATTTATTATATTAATTTTCTATACCAAATCAGGCAGAGCTAATGCGGGTGCAGTTTCTGTTAGCCTCCATTGCCTTCTGCAGTTTAAAAGTTATGCCTGGATGCATGAATATAATGGAACACTGGAGCCATCTTGGATTGGGATCCGCAACCTCACTCCCTTGCTGCTCTGTTGTGGATAGATCCAGTGGGTTGTTATACAAGTAATTATCTGAGCTCTGTCGGGAGCCATGTTTAGGCCACATGCCTGGGCATCCATGGGAGGAGGGGTGGGAACTTGTGGCCTTCTGGATATCGCTGGATTCAGCTCTCATGATTCTTCACCACTGGTGTTACTTCAAGCTGCAACCCAATAACATCTCCAAGGCAACAAACACATCCCCCACTTCCTCATCAATGGAACTGCCTTTAGTTTTATTCACACCATAAGTGGATTTTTAAAATAACACTTCAGAAGACAAATGGCGAATACTATATTCCAGTAACTGAAATAAAACTTCTACTTCTTATTTGAAACTGAAACTAGACCTCAGAGCCTCCACTGCAGAAGTCAAAGATTACAGCAGTAATCAACTGTGCCATGCAGCATTGAAAACGGTAATTTCCTTACAGTGAATTGTAGAGAACAAAGCATCCATCACAATGTGTGAAGTGCAGGAATTTAGAGTTTTCTTCAATGGTGTTGGGGAGAGTGAGGTATACTTTTCAACTTTTAAAACCACTCTATTTCATTTTTTTAAGTGATCAGTGTTGATGAAAACTGGAAGCTGCTTCCAGTATCTGGGAGAAAGATGGAATATAAAAAAAATAAAATAAAACAATTCACCTAAACAGAATTATGCTTATTTTCTATTTAATTGAATTATTTAATCAATGGGTCTCAAATTGCAAATTTTACATTGATGCACAAAGGGCTCCAGTGTAGATTCACTTCCAACTTGTCGGCTTGAGGTGTTGAAAAGTACAATCTGCTCACAGATGCTCTCTGATTTCCAACCAATTGAGCATTCTTGGAACCCAGTTAGTATATGACAGTACATTTCTATAGTTATAACTAAGTGGGGCAGAGCTGGCTAGGTGGCATTTCTCGTTGCTTTTAGAAGATTTATGTATGTTCTACGTGGTCAGGCTCTCTGATTTACATCCAGCCACATTCATAGAATCTGACAACTCTTTCACTAAAAAGATACCCAAAGGTCACCCAATCAAACCCTAAGTAATAATAATAATAATGTTCCATTACCATTCCCTTCTGCTGGGGCTACCCTGGGACCATGCAGCTTGCCCAAGGTCGTACAGGCTGGCTCTACTCACAGGAGGCACACTGTGGGGAATTGAACTCTAAAGCTCTGGATCTGTAGCCTAACTCCCAAACTACTGAACTGGAAATGGTCTGGTTGTAACTTGTCTGGACCACCTCAGACTAGGTCACCCACCAGAGCAAAGTCTTCATGATGACAGGGATGTCACTAGAAGTACATTTCTATGGTTCTACTGCACTTGCTTATTAAAACCAGGTTGGGGGAGTAGAGACAGAGTTGCTCCAAGACATCTCACTGTCTTGAGGTGAAACAAGTGCCCTCCACCCCACCCCACACGTCTGATGCTGAGTACAAAATCCATCCAATTGGTTGGCCCTTGATTAGAAGACCCTGCTACTTCGGGGG